GCGGCCCCCTCCCCGCCGCCCCGCCGCGGGCACGCCTCCCCTCTCCCTCCCACCTTTCCAGCTCACTCTTTGCGCCAGCGCCTCACGGTTCGCCTTTTCCTTACCCTCCCTCCCGCGTAGCCTTCTGGGAAATGTAGTCGTAGGAGGTGCTGTTGCCTACGGGTCTTGCCGCGAGAGCCCTTCCGAAATGCACAATTGCGGGGCTAAAAGAGACCAAAGCCTCAGGATCTCCTCTCTTAATCCTTGTGCGCACATTCTTTCTGCTACCAGCCCACTCTTCAAAGCTCACTGCACCCACACCCCAGCCCCACACTTCTTTCTGCCCAAGACGCCCCTCCAAGCCGTGCCTCCTCCAGCTGGCTGGCGCCCCTTCCTGGGCTGGCTGCCACGAAGCGACTTCGCTCCCCTGTAGATGGAGTAGGGTAGGTGCAGGGAGGTGGGCGCTGTGAATCAGAAGGGCAAGGGGAGGGAGTCTGTAGGATGTACTGAAGGACACAGAGGTTGGAATGGGGGAGGGTCCACAGATTCCGTGTTTTGCCTCCTCTATGGGAACCCCACGCTCCCCTGATGCGGAACAGAGGGTTGGAGTGGCGTTGTCCGGGTTCGGGAGGACCAAGCTGAGCTGACCAAGATCACCTGTCAGGATGACAGGCTATCTCCGAACCAGAGCCAGCCCCGGAACTGGGTTTGCAGCATCTCTGCTGATCTGTCTCTCTCCTCCTGAGCACTGCGATCGATACCCTGTACTGCCTCTTCCCAAACCCTGGCTGGATCCTGACTCCATCCATCACTTTGGCTTCTTTTTCTAATGACTATTTTCTCTGCTGGAAGGGCTGCCACCAGACCTCAGCATAGGGAGATTTCTCATCAGATCTGTCATTTTCCTTGCTAAAGCCTGGAAAATACCTTAATCATCCACCTCTTTCTTCTTCTCAGCTGATAACATTTCTTCCCACCCTCATACAATCAGGAGACAAAAGCTCGCCCCTCCCCATTACATCAGAAAAGATATACTAATTCTCTTATCCGTCCTCAACCCCTCACACCTTATCCCGTATTCATTCCTTCACCTAAGGGGGAACTGAATCGGAGACAAATAAATCAGGTCTGTGACTTCGAGACCTCAGATTTTCTGCTTACTTTCGCTCAAGGAAGGTTTAACTACCTCAACGATGCTCTCTGAGGGCAGAGATTCTTAACCTGAGAACCAGAGATAATCCCTAGGGGGTCCAGGAACCTGGTGAAATTGCATGTAAGATTGTGCCCAAGTGTATTTTTCTAGGGAATGTAGGGTGTGATTGTCAGAAGGGGGAGAGAGAGGTGCAAGTTTGTTCAGCAAGAACCTTCCTAGTTAAGAGGGCAAAGTATATGGCCTTCAACTCCTGACAGGAAGCTTGCCTGGGTCACTGATGGTAGGAGAGCAAATGGAAACAGTATTGTGGAAGCCACTATCTCTCACCTTTTGAGTTTGCTCTGAATTTGTTAATGAGTCTCAGTTACTTTGGACTAATTGATGCCATCGAAAGAGATGTCACCAGGCCGCGGCCTGCAGGAAAAACTCCTCAGTCTGAAGACACTATTGCTTGAGGTACAGAGTAGAAAGGAGTGGAATGATGTTTTGATGGAAATGTAGATATTTGTCCGAGAATGTAAAGTGAGGGACGGAAGAGAAAAAAAAAATGCCCAGAAGGGCTCCAGTCTTGGCTCCTTCGTGGCAAATGCTTGAAGCACTGTTTATTCCAATGTGTAACAAGCACCAGAAAACAACATGCAACATTCTCCCCCCACCCCTGATCTGCAGTCCTGGAAGCAGGAGACTTATGACCATGATAGTGATGAGAACCCATGTTCAGGAAATGTCCTAGGTGGGCACCCTGGCAGAGTCTGAGTTTACTAGGGCAAAGGGCAAGTGCCTTGCCTGTTGGCCTCCTGCAGCAGCTGGAGAAACCAGACACCTTCTTCTGCCTCTGGCCCCATTAGGCAAAGTGGTGATGCCAGCCCTGGTTGGAGGAGACATGAATCCTATGAGGACACCTCTGCCTTTGGGCACTTGGCCTAGCCCAGCCCTGTAGAGGTAATGAGGTAAAGTAGTCTTTCCTCTTAGGGTGACCAGAGAGAGAGAGGCCATAGCCTAAATCAAGGCTCTTCTGGCTGAGAACAAGCCAGCCTCTTGAGGAGGAGAAAGAGGCTTCTCTGCTCTACAGAAAGTTATGGGCTAGTAGCACTTGGCAGGAATACATACACACCCACCCCTTCCCTAGTGAAGGGCCAGCTGCTAACTCTGGCCCCAAATGAGAGCACTTTATCCATCACATTTATAAATATGTACACAGAATCCAAACAAAGTTCCAGTAAAAGCTGCTCACAGACCCTCACAGGGGCCAGCTTGAAAAAAAATCAAGGTCACCCTTTTGTTCTCTGTATCGCAGATGAAGGTAAAACTGTCCTTCCCG